ACATTCATGAGGTACTTTGCATTGACTGTTTATGGTTGAATGTGGGCGTGTAGAGGGTAGAAACTGAGGCGGGACCTCGTGTGCAGGTAATGAGTGGAGAACAGGAGGGCTTCTTAAAGAAGAACTAACATGTCTGTGAGAGCCAAAATTCTTACTGGTTGATAGATGATCAAATACTTATTTCACACAATAAAATGGAAAATAATTATTCAAAAATCATACATTGTATTTTTCTGGATTTTTGTTTTAGATTCCATCACTCACAGTTGAAGAGTACATATGATAAAAATTACAGTCATCTACAAGCTCTGCAAGTGGGAAAACCTGAAAAATCAACAGTGTATCAAATACTTGTTCTCCCCACTGTATATATTTTTAATTAAGGCTTAAAACTGATTTAATGTAACTTCTGAAGGCTCCACAGAAACCCTGTGAAGAGAAAAGTTTTATTTGGGAGTGGGTTAATTGTACAGGCTTAGGGACAGCTCAGGTTGAGCTCTCTGAAGACAAAGCTGAGACGGTTCGGACATGAGCAGAGGGACAGTGGACATGGAGGGAGACAGACCCCTGAAGGGAGAAGCCAAAATAATTTGATTACAACTGATTAGTTGTGCTCTCAAGTTCAACTGAACAGCTTTTCATTTGTTTCTGCTCTTCTAAAATCATCAGACCATAAGTGAAGAGCAACAAGTCGACACAGCAAGTAAAATTCATTTGGCTTTTATTGCTCGCGCTGTGCATCCAGTTCATACAGAAACACCCTGTGGCTTTACTGCAGCTCTGCCCAACAATCCGCTTTGACCCTTTTAATGGGGACCAGTTAAATAACGGGGTCACCGAACGGCAAGTCCATCCACTGCTGAGAAGCTCCACCGTGTGTGTGTCTCCTCAGGCGAGGCCGTCAGCCTGTTACTGACTGTAACAACGATGTGTAGGTCTGCATATACATGGGGTCTTAGAGGGACAATCGTTTCAAAACGCAAAAAAAAAAGGTGCAAAATAATGCAGATTCATTCACTGAAACTTTAACAGAAAAGAATTATGCATTTGTTTAATGACTCTACTGATCGGAGGGAAAACTCTCATAAAAAGGTTACACTGTAGAGCTGGACAATAGGACAAAATTTACATGTTTACAGTTACATATGTTTTTACTACAGCAGTGCAGATTAATTTCTTTGTAAGCCCACTTCAGTAAAATCTGTTCATTATCCAGCTCCTTTATCGTACAATGCTTATATATGTATAAAAAAGAAGAAGAAGAAGAAGAAAAAAAAAGGCCCAGTCAGAAAAAGGAAAAGTCAAAGAAAGTTCTGGTTTGTTGTGACTGCAGGAGTTAAAGCAAACAAACCAAAGACTAGACCTGCTCTTCATTTACGCAGCAGCTTAGACGAGCTGCAGCGCTACACTGTCCACACACACACACACACACACACACACACACACACACACACACACACACACACACACACACACACACACACACACACCCCTCCCTTCATAGTGTCTGAGTGCCTGCTCGCTCCTGGCCAAATAAATAGAAAACACCTAAAGACAGAAGGAGAAAAGAGGAACTGGGTGCGTTTACGGTTTGACTAGGTGGTGGGGGGCTATCCTCCCCTCCTCGTTATGATGACATCGATGTTTCCGTGGGAACAGGCAATTCTGTGGCCTTCCTGGAGTCTGCGTCTGTTGGGGGTACACAATCCACGGCTGGACCGGTCACGGGCGCAGCGGTGACTGTGACTGAGGCTGGGGGTGGGCTGGAGGTGGGGGGCATGCCGTGGGAGAGCAGAGAAGGCAGCTGGGAGGGCAGCATGGCTGGCAGGGGGGGAAATGAGGCGAGACCTGGTATGTTCAGGGGGGGCAGTGAAGCTAGAGGCGGGACTGGTGAGAAAAACAAGAACTAATTATTATTATTTAAGATTTATTCTCACACATTTAATTTAAGTATAAAAAGCAAAGCTGATGCAGAAATGTTTCAGACTCGTGTTGATAACCTCAAAAACAAGTAGCAAACATGGACTGAAGGTTGCAGATTATTCATTCACCTGCTGCTGGAACTGAAATAGTGCTGAGGTCTGGGAGGGGCAGGTTCAGGTTGGGAAGGTTGGGGAGAGGTAGTCCTCCTGAGAGGGGCATCAGTCCTGGGAAGTCACAACACAAACACATCAGTCAGCCACTCAAGTATTACAGTTTTATTTATTTAAATATATAACTGCTTTTATAAACCATCAGTCAAAAGCCTGGACACATTTTCCCAATGCTTTTTTCTTTTTGTCCTTCATTGTGTTGGTCCTGGGCTCATCAAGGCTACGAAGGAACACATAAGGAGCCACGTAGTGAACTTGGAGGTGTTGAATAAACCAGAATACATTTTAAATCTTGAATTGTTGAAGGTGGGAACCGTTTGTATTTATTGCAGGTTTTCAACAATACATTTACCTGTATCCACCGTTTAATACACTCCATGTATGGAACAATACAGATTTTTAACATTTATTTTATCAGCTTGTCTTCTGAAGATACTCTGTGTTGAAGGATCAGTGGATCTGTGTTCGACTACTCCACCTGGGCTGCATTGTGGAGCACAGATCCACGGAGAAACTGGCTGTTTCAGCAACATTTAATTGAAAAACTGTACATTTGAGGTTAAACAAATGTTCATAATTTCAATAAATAAGAAGGGCGTGAAAATCTGTCTTTTTTTTTGTATTGAAAAAATACCAAACCGTGACACTAAAGTATTGAACCGAATTTTCTGTATCATTGTACCCCTAATGTGTTTTTAAATTTTCAGTACTCCATGTTTAATAAATGTAACTATATTTTTCCCATCTAAAGACATTTTAAATCATAAAGTAGATTACTAGATTAATTCAACAATTCAATACGAAAATATATATTTTCAAACAACATTGCAACACAACCAAAACAGTTTCAGTTAAACAGTTAAATGCTTAAAATATGCCTAAAAGTAATTTAAAGTGTATCTTACCCCTCCTGTGAAAAGATAACTCTGCCCCAAGGCGAAATTTGAAAAATGCATCAAAGTGGGTAGGTGGGTAGGGGAGGGGGGGTTAGAGAGCGGAGGTGTGGCCAGGACTAGAGAACCTGACAGGCAGCTAGCATTAGCATAATTGATGCTACATGGAGAGTGACCACAGTATCGTAGATATTTACATCTCTAAACGATCTGAGGTGGAGGAGTTTTCACCCCCAACCCCACTCCTCACCAGAGGCAGAGAGAGACTTGATCAAGTCAGCTCAGTCTGGGACTGACTCGTGTTGGCTCCCTCGATCAGGACATGAAGCTCCAAAAGCCTCGGCTGAGCTCTGTCCGCCTCACCCCACACCAGCACCGGACAGAGGAGGTGGAGCGCTCCGATAGACTGACATAAAAAAATAAAAGCATACAGCTGCAGCTGCTCACAAGATCACTAGTTTAAATCAGGAATAAAACTGTTGGGTCTTGTTTGACTGAAGTTCGGTCCGGTTCAGCCCGCTGAGCTGCGGTCTTTCTGCCCTTTTTTTCCCCTCCCGCTGTGCAGGACGTACTGTGTGTGTGTGTGTGTGTGTGTGTGTGGGGGGGGGGGGGGGGTCAGCTCTCTCCACCCGAGGCTGAAGGTCAACAGACGATCATGCTAAGCTTGCTAACAGCTCCACCCTCTGACTGCTGCAGGGGCGTGTCTTAGAGAGAGGCTTTTATACCAGAACACAGCCGCTGTGACGAAACTGTGCAGAAGCAACGTCACAGAGGAGAGCCGTTAACCAATATGCAAATTTTGCTGCTCATATGGGTAGAGCAGTGGTACTGCAGGCTAAACATGTTTTTAGACCAAATATTACAGATTTGAACAAATACGCACAAAAACAGTACTATATAACATTTTAGACACATTCTAGACAGTTTATCAGCTAAAAAAGTTAATTTTGGTTAATTTAAGTTAATTTTTCTAAACCTCACTTATGTGTTTCATAAGAAACAGCACTTTTGGTCAAATAAACTGAACTTAAAAATCACACTAGATTTTATAATTACTGCCCATCTCCATGAAAGGAGGGCAACTCTACGTTATTGTATCAGATTGTAAAACTACTGTATTCTTATTGTTAGGGATGCCCTAATCCGATATCAATATTGGTCCAATATTAGCCAAACAATGAATATGCATCTAACACTCTGATACAAGCAGTCCATTTCAAGATTTCTATCCAGCAGAGCTCAGATCCAGCATAAATAACTTAAGTGACTTTAAATAGATATTTTATACATTTAGTTTTTATTTGATTTATTGAGGTACATTTTCAAGGTCTTCTATTTTATTATTCCTTTATTGTACAATATTATGTTTAAGATAAAAAAAATTATGTAGCCTATTATTTAATAAATGTGACCAGTCTTTCTCATACCTACTGTTGCAGAGTATTGTTTACTGTTTGACTTCATCAACACTTTGATTCCACACTACAAAAAGTAATGAAAGTCTGTAGGATTTGTTCTGATATCGTATCAGGTCAACATCGGTCAACACTCAAGGCTGCAATATCACTATCATATCGGAAGTGAAAAAGCTCCATCAGGACACTACTAATAATTGTCTTGTGTCCACCTCCATCCATCCATCCATCCATCCATCTTAGGATGATGCATATTAAATCAACATGTCAGCAGTAAACATCAATGTAAATATGCCAGAGTTAGCACAACAGCTAGTTTTCATCATTGTCCTAGGGCAGGTTTACCTTATTTCCCTCTGGGATCAATAAAGTATTTTTGAATTGAATTTGAGGTAAGAACAAGAATGATGTGAAGATGATGATGATGGTAAATGGTAAATGGTAAATGGTACTGAACTTATAGAGCGCTTTTCAAATCCCTCCGGACCCCCAAAGCGCTTTACACTAACAGACATTCACCCATTCACACTCACATTCACACACTGATGATGGCAAACTACACTGTAGCCACAGCTGCCCTGGGGCACACTGACAGAGGTGGGGCTGCCATGCATCGGCGCCACCGGACHCTCTGACCACCATCAGTAGGCAAGGTGGGTGAAGTGTCTTGCCCAAGGACACAACGACTGAGACGGCTGGACGGGGGATCGAACSAGTGACCTTCTGGTTCCAGGACGACTCCCCTAACCACTCCGCCACAGCCGCCCCATGAGGGATGATGATGATTAGGACCCAGTCTTTTAAGATAATGCTTTAACACAACAAAGCACAATCTTAAATTGTACTAAGTCTTTAATAAACTCCCACTTGTGCTGATTTGAGAGTTTGGATCGTCACATCTGTGGTTTCAGTCAATGTGCCAACAAAAGTTACCGGGAGAGGCTGCAGTGGCCAAATATATTCTCATGTGTGAGTGTCACTTTAAAATATGAAACACTCAGATTGTTGAGAGAAGCCCAGATTGGTTAGATCATATCTAGATAAAGAAATTCTAACATTTGACAGAAAACTACTTTAATTGTTTAATTCTGTGATTCTCTCTACATTTAGTGCATTACAGAAACCATAGAGTCACATTTAAAATGCACAAATTAAAACCACCTCATCATATTAAACAAAGACAAACAGGTTTAATTTATGGAATGATGTAACTTTTGATGAGAAAACTGAGCAAAAAGAAAACACAGGATAACTTATTAATGTGAGCAAACAAAAACTGGCAAAGCAGAAAAGGTTGGCTGTAACATTAACTGTAATCCAACAGAAGGAGAACCTTAATAAACATCTTTTTCTCTGGATGAGTGTGTACATACTGAGACATCTTTTAAAGATGAGCTGTGTTTGTTTTGTAATGAATCACCCACCTGGCAGTGTTGAGGCCGGGTTGAAGGTGGCGGCGGCAGGGTTCAGTGGAGCGATGGAGCTGAAGGAAGGGCTGGTGGAGGAGGGCAGGAGAGGGACGGTGGGCAGGCCTGAATGAGAGGGAGGGCATCAGACGTTACGAGGGATCGTGTGGAGAAAATATTGCCAAGTGCCGATAAAGCTCCTGCAAAGCATGAATTTACATGTGCCGCTGCTAATGAAAGGAAAAGGGACACCTGTTTGCAGCTCACTGGGCAGAGTGGGTGGGGCTGAGCTGATTGACAGGCCAGACAACGAGTCTTCAAGGCCAGCGGAGACGGCAGGTGTAGAGGTGGGTGGGGTCACGGCTGAGAGCTGGACCTGAGGAGCAGGATGGTGGATACAGATATGGGCGTTTATTTTAAATTTAGTATTTTGTTGAATTAAAAATTAAATAAAAGCAGCAGTTTGATTTAAAATGACTGACAAAAGAAAAAAAAAGCTACTTTATCTACAACATTTTAAAACCAAACTACAGCTAAAGATGCTGAGTTCTATAGAAGACACTCATGTCTGAGCAGCTTGTGTGAATTGTTCCTGAGCAGTGGAGTGCTATGATCTGAGCGTGAGTCGGTCCAAACCTCAGTGAATCCATCCTTGAGCGGACTGACGGGCTCACTGGTAGAATTCCCAGGGAAGCTGATCTTCTTCCCCTCCTCAAAAGGCCGGGTGGGGATTCTGTGGAGGTATCCGTAGCCAATCCCACATCCAAGGCTGGGAAAATCGCAAAGAAATAATACAAAATGAACCTGAAATCCTAACAACATAATGTGTTTATGTTGAATAAACAACTAAACTATGGGCTTTATTTGATTGGTTTAGGTGCATGTGTTACCTGCCATCCCCTCCCCAGGCACCGTTAGGTGTAATGACCACCTCTCTGCAGTTGTCAGTATCTGTGTTGTACACATAGAGCTTCAGGCCCTTTCCCTCGTGGCTCTCTATCAGAGAGAATAAGTCCTCGGACTAAAGAGACAGAGAGAAACACATCAAATACATTATTTTATCAGTTGAAATTATTGAAGTTCTATGAGTTGGTTGATTATAATATTTTACAGGTTGTGCATAAGGCTCACAAATGTATATATGACCCATCACATCAAAATGAGGATTAAGTCAAATTTGGTCAAAATGACCAAATCATATTTTCAGATTCCTGGTTTTAAAAGCTACATTTTGATACTTAGATCATCCTGATATCATTAGTAGATCTAGAGATGTATTATTTAATTTGTCTTGTTGGTTACAATAATACATATATACTTGGTCTAAATACTAATTTTAATTAATTTTATTGAGGATTTTTTTATGTAATTTGAAAAAGAAACCTCAAATAGTATTGGAACATAGAGATTTCCCAGATGGAAAGAAACAAAAGCTTTGATAGCTCACAGTGAAAATCTCAATATTTTAAAAAGGTGTTTTTCCTCAAAATCAGGTTTTTGGTTACTAATGCTCAAAAAAGTGCTTCAGATTTTTTTAGGATTATATTTCAGACAGTTCATTGAAATAATACATTGATAACACATTTATTTGTTATCAAAATTGTATAGGTCTTCTGGAAGGGTTCTTCTCTAATGAAACGTTTCGTCTCTCCTCCAAGAGACTTCTTCAGTCTGAGAGTTTCAGGCAAAATTCAGGCTTGCACTGCCTCCATGTGACTGATACTCACATCACGTGGCTATCGTTGACACCTAATTAACACCTACTGTTAACAAGGGGTGGAGTGATACTGGCAATGGCTGCGCTGTAGGAGGGGGACAACTGAAAACGGAGGCCTCCACCTCTGTTTAATGATGGACGGTCTTTCTTCACAAAAATGGCTTCTTTTACTCCTCTCTCAAAAAAAGAAGCCATTTTTGTGAAGAAAGACCGTCCATCATTAAACAGAGGTGGAGGCCTCCGTTTTGCCTGAAACTCTCAGACTGAAGAAGTCTCTTGGAGGAGAGACGAAACGTTTCATTAGAGAAGAACCCGTCCAGAAGACCTATACACTTTTTTTCTTTTTGATTTTTTACCTGGATTACTGAGATGCATCAGGACATTTAATTGTTATATTTTGACAAAATGTAATTTTTGCATGTGTTTTAATCAAAACACTATATCTGCTTATTTCTCCACACAAAACTTTTAGACTTAACCCTCGTTTCGATGTGATGGGTCACATATTACCTTTAAACAACCAATTAAATTTTGTTAAGAGAGAAAGTTGTTATTATCTGAAGGGGGTAGAGATGTTTGTGAAACCTGGATTTTGAACTAGTTTGAGGGAGCGGTGTGCGAGGAATAAGACTGTGGAACAATCTGGAGAGTGATGTCAAACAGGGTTCCTACAGTTTAAGGAAAGTTAAATTTAAGACCTTTTAATGCCAGGTGAAATTAAATTTAAGAATTTAATAAACACAAATGACAAAAAAATAAAAACTGGCAGAAACTCATGAACCAAAGTACTTTTGGTTTAAGTATTAAAATATTGCTAATAGACCAATTGTTTTTATCCATAGCTAACTATAACAGAAACATTCTTAGCAGTCAGTTTTGAACTTAATTTAATTTCAGGAAGTCCTCTAACGACTCAAAATTTGGAGTTTTAGGACCCACAGTGGGGTCTTAAAGCCAATTTGCTGTAGATGAAACCTTAAAGTGCCTGTGACATCAATGTTTTGTAAGTGAATGCATTTTTTGTAAGACAACATTATTAACATTTTACAAAACAAATTTCACGTTGCTCAGATGAACAGTTGAGATATTTGCATGTGACGTAACAGGAAGTGACGTCAAAGAAGAATGTCTGCATGTGAATATTTAAAAAAAATAATTTTTACCAATTACTTTAATATTTGAGATGAATTACAACCATCCTATGTACAATGTGTTAACATTTTTAAGACTTCTGAAAGAATGATTTAAGACATTTTAAGGCTAATTAAGGCCTTATTTTGGGATTGATGAATTCAAGGCCTTTTAAGACTTTAAAGATCTGCATTTTTGACAGGTCAAAAATGCAGATCAATGTTTATATTTAAGAGAATAAAGTAACTTTGTTAAAGAAATATGAAACAATATAAAGTTGTATGAAATGTTGTTTGACA